CTCTCTTTGTCCAGGTTGCATGACCTGAATTGTTGTTTTTTATATTTAGTAGACTGAATTTGAGACTCATTATCCCACTTTCTATTGGGTAACTAGATGTAACAGGTTCTAATATTTGAAATATGAAATAGCCAATACAAAAATAATATATCTGAAGAAACTTTCATATTTGTTTTTTGTTTTTAATCCAAATAGGCCACCGAGGCAATCGTTCAGTAAAAATAAGTTTAGCTTTATTATATTACCACTATATATATCGAGATAAATATATGGTATTACTGGTATGCTGTCTGACAACATCGGGAATCGTTAAATTCTAGGACAATGATGGATTTTAAAACGTATAATTAGTTATGTAAACGGGCTTGTAACTCCTGAGTTGCAGACGTTCAAAATAATAACTTGCTTGCCTTCTTGCATATCAATGTCGGTAATTACGAAATTAGGTATGCGATTGATTGTAGTTTTATTTACCCTTTTCCGTTCCAGTGTAAGGTACAGGTGAATATACCGGAGGAGTATATTTGGAGACAGGCGTTTTCACGCAATTTTTAAATTTTATACACATACTAGCTGACCCGGCGAACTCTGTTCCGCCTTAAAGGCAGCAAATAAGCCGATTTTCGAATTTAGTAAGTTATTTTTTTTTCTTAGAAAAAATAATGAAGTAGGGGAGAAGTGGGTAATGGGAGTCAGTGGGCAGTCGTGGTCACTACAATAACTCGAGAAACAAAATGCGCTTAGTCGCAAACGCCGCGTATCCAAGGTCATTTTACCTCATACAGGCCCCGCACCAACGCGTGCTTAGTTCGCGGCGAGCGCTCGGAAGATACGGCCATGTGAGTGTTTTGTGCCATTTTCTTATAATTTTTCGTGTGCACAAAATAAACGGTAAGTCAATTTCTCTTATACATTTCAACTATTTATTCATTTCATACTGTAGTTAGGTCATTTGAGACTGGTTTTGTGATACATACGAAGTGACAAATTTTTAAACTATTGTTTTATAACCTATTTTTTTCAAGTTGTCAGATTAGGGTAATGAGAGTCGCGGTGACTCCCATTTCCCGCAATAAGTATGGCGTTCACATGATTCGATTTTTTATAGTATACTAGCTGACCCGGCGAACTCTGTTCCGCCTTAAAGGCAATAAATAAGCCGATTTTCGAATTTAGTAAGTTAATTTATTTTTTAGAAAAAATAAATAAAAATATTAATTACTAAAATTGCTCGCTCACTCAACCATTCATTATTTTTGTAGTTAGAAATAATGTCTTTAAATACATTGTTGATAAGTTCGTCTTTTCATGAGACAAAATTAAAGAAATTATTTGGAAATGATATCAATCCGCTCGATTCATCGACAGGTACTTGACCATTACCGATAGTCAGCAATTGCTCAGAGAAATCTTCAGCAGATGTATCATTAAGCAATGCAACACTCATGTTTGTTGTCAGCTGCAGTTTCTTCACATAGCGCCATAGATTCGACGATTTGAGGCAAGCGTTTATTTCGTCGGCAGCCGTAGATCTTGGAATTACTGGCAGTGTTTGGCGGAAATCACCTGACAGTAAAATCATTGCTCCTCCAAAACATCTCGAGTCATTCCGTAAATCTTTCAATGTTCGGTTAAGTGCTTCTAATGCACGTTTATGCGCCATTGTGCATTCGTCCCAGATGATGATTTTCGATGCCGATAAAACTTTGGCCATTGCTGAATTTTTCGTAATATTACACGTTGGTTCTTCAATAGTTTGAAGATTTAACGGTAATTTTAATGCAACCGCTATGTTGGATCTCGCCCGAACAGTGGCTTAAACTACTGACATGAGGAATGTCTTACCTGTTCCACCAGGGGCATCTAGGAAATATAAACCACCATTTCCATCATCGATTGCCTTCATTAAAGTATCATAAACTTCCTTTTGTTGGGAATTCAACAGGGGTACATTCGTTTGAACTACTAAATCTAATTCCTGGTGATCATATTCACGTTCCCGTTCCAATTCTCGATTAAATGCGTCATTCATTTCACGATTGGGCGCTGGCATTCTTAACCTGATTAATAAACTACCACACATGAGGTAACACAAATCTTCGATCAAGAGTAAAGCACGATTATGTATCTCCTCATTCATCTCAACATCGTGATTTCTGGAAGTGATACGAATTTGATTTAAAATATCTTCTGACATATTATCCTTATATTTGTGCCACAGGTTACATGGGTTTGATGGAAAGCATGTCCAAATTATGATAGCGAATAATGTGCGTATCTGACTTGGAGATGCAGAGATAATGGCTTCAGCGATTGTCGTATCCCAATGGGTATTGTTTTCTAATAAGTTCAGTTCTTCACATGCAGCACGATATGTTGGGAATATTACACCATTAACAGTCCGTAGTGTCTGAAATGACGTTGGCCCACGCACATTTACCAGCAACAACCGCAAATAGAAACATTCATCATTCTTTGGATGAACTGTGTACATACGACCAAGAGCATCAGTAGAACGCACATCCGGATACCCAGGAACCGCATCGCCTTGCTTCCGTCTTTGAAAATTCGAAGCATTCCAAGTATAATAACGTGGCATCTCCGAGTAAAGCAAAGTTCGTAAAAAACAAAAAAAAAAGTGTCGAACGGAATAAATAGTATCCTATGTCCGTCTCCTGGCTCTAAGCAATTTCCCCACCAATTTTCAGCCAGATCGGTAAAGCCGTTCTTGAGTTATAAATAGTGTAACTAACACGACTTTCTTTTATATATATAGATTTATATTATATTGTCTTTTTTGCAGATGCCAAAATCACGTCCCAGGAGTACCAATAAAGCCCAGTGGTCTTCAGACACACTATCCAAAGCGGAGGATCTCATAAATAGAGGTTCATATATAAGACAAGCTGCCAAATGTATGGATATGCCATTTCCCAGCCTTCAGAAGCGCTTAAAAAAAAAGATTCCTCGGAACCACGTCTTGGGCGTCAAACCGTATTTAGCAAACAAGTGGAAGAGGACCTGGCAAACCGAGTTAAATTAATGGCAAAAGCTTTTTACGGATGCACTGCTACTCAAGTCAGAAAGATTGCCTTCCAATACGCAGAAGACCATGGAATTAAAAACAATTATGACAAAAATGCAAAAAAGGCAGGTCGTGACTGGCTTGAAGGATTTCTGAAAAGAAACAATATCTCTATCCGCAAGCCAGAGGCTACCAGAATCAACCGAATCACTGCTTTTAATAGGCGGGAAGTTGAATTGTTTTATGGCTTTCTGGAAGAATTGATGGACAAACACAAGTTTATACCACAAAACATATACAACTGTGACGAGACTGGTATCTCGACAGTCTAGGATCCTGGAAAAATCTTAGCCCCTAAAGGTGTGAAAAGAGTTGGATCTATCACTAGTTGGGAACAAGGCAAAAACATAACAATGTTGTGTGCAATGAGTGCTGCCGGTGGATTCGTTCCACCAATGTATATTTTTCCAAGGAAGAGAATGTCTGCACAGATAGAGAAAGATCGGTGCAATCTACAAATGTTCTGACAATAGATGGATAAACGAGAATTTGTTTTTTGAATGGCTACGATATTTCACTGCGCATACTAAGCCGTCACCTGAACAACCCATTCTACTGATACTAGATAATCATGTCAGCCACATGTCACTACAAATCTTTGAGCGCTGCAAACAAAATAACATACCTACATATGCTTTCACTACCTCCGCTCACATCACACCGCATGCAGCCGCTTGATGTCACATTTTTTGGGTTAAGTTGCTTGTTAAGCAACATGCAACAGTGTTAACGTATTCACCATTAAAAGATAGTCTTTTAGAAAAGGAAAATAAGAAAAAAAGAGAAAGCAGAGAAAGAAAAATACGAAACTAAAGGTAAGAAGACAAAAGAATGCAAGAGAAAAATAGAAGACAAAAAAACTACTGCGAAAGCAAAGAAACGCATAACACAATGCAAGATCGTGAAAAACAAGGCTAAAAGACGTGTTTTACAAGACATCCAATCGACCTCCGAGTCAGATTTAAGTTTCCATAACATTTGTGACGACGATGAAGATGATGACCTGGAAAATATAGATGGGATTGGTACTAATACCTGCCTTATTTGTACCGAGTTCGGGCGCAACAACGAGATCTGGTACAGATGCACGGTGTTTGGGCTATGGGCACACGCAGACTGCACCGGATGGGATTCAGCAGAAGGAAATATGTGCGACAACGGTTAGGATCTGTTGACTCCCATTACCCAATGCGTGACCACAATTACCCGCACGTGTAGGCAATAGTGATCAAAGTGATTTTTTTCTTTAAGTCTTATAATTACGAAAGTTCGTAACCAAAGTAAATGAAACTCGTCAGACTGATAGTTGATTAAGTAAACTATGTTAAAAACTTATATTAATAAATATTACTACAAAGACTTGTGTTTTGGATACATTATTGCTTAAGTGACTCCCATTACCCAGTTCTCCCCTACATTAATCATTTATTATTGTTTCTGCATTTCAGTACATAGGTTGCTCTTCACTTAAGTACCTTGTAATACACGACATTTTTTGTTTTCTTATCCGTCGCAAAAACAAACAACGCAGATGGTCTTCCGACCCGTGAACATTCCACATATAATTGACCATGGGAAAAACATGGATGTTCTAGATTCAAACCACAAACTTTTAAGGATTGGCCTTGTGATTTGTTGATGGTCATGGCAAATGCAAGACGGATTGGAAATTGAAGTCTTTTAAATTCAAATGGCAAATCGGTTGGGATCATCGAGATCCTCGGAATGAGAACTTCCTCACCTTTGAATTTTCCTTTCAGTATCGTCGCGTAAATAACATTGTTCATCAATTTTCTAACCACCAAACGCGTACCCTTGCACAGTTTTGGTTGGCTTATGTTTCGAAGCATGATAACTACGGAGCCAACCTTTAGGCGTAAATTGTGCGGTGGTAAGCCAGGCACATCCAAGGAGTTTAATAATTCAATTGGATAGTTGGTGGCTTCATCTTCATTTGTGACGCAGTCAATAGATTTGAATGAATGCATTGTCCAATGATCTTATTTTGAATTATATAGTTCAGGTCGTCTACATCTTTATTCTTAGCCGCTAAAATTGCTTGCTCACTCAACCATTCTTTATTTTTGTAGTTAGAAATAATGTCTGGAAATACATTGTTGATAAGTTCGTCTTTTGATGAGACAAAATTACAGAAATTATTTGGAAATGATATCAATCCGCTCGATTCATCGACAGGTACTTGACCATTACCGATAGTCAGCAATTGCTCAGAGAAATCTTCAGCAGATGTATCATTAAGCAATGCAACTCTCATGTTTGTTGTCAGCTGCAGTTTCTTCACATAGCGCCATAGTTTCAACGATTTGTGGCAAGCGTTTATTTCGTCGGCAGCCGTAGATCTTGGAATTACTGGCAGTTTGGCAGTACTGTTTGGCGGAAATCGCCAGACAGTAAAATCATTGCTCCTCCAAAACATCTCGAGTCATTCCGTAAATATTTCAATGTTCGGTTAAGTGCTTCCAATTTATATACGTTTATGCGCCATTGTGCATTCGTCCCAGATGAAACTTTGGCCATTGCTGAATTTTTCGTAATATTACACGTTGGTTCTTCAATAGTTTGAAGATTTAACGGTAATTTTAATGCTGAATGAGCCGTACGGCATCCTTCTAACAATGTGGCTGCTATTCCAGAAGAAGCAAATGCAACCGCTATGTTGGATCTCGCACGAACAGTGGCTAAAACTACTGACATGAGGAATGTCTTACCTGTTCCACCAGGGGCATCTAGGAAATATAAACCACCATTTCCATCATCGATTGCCTTCATTAAAGTATCATAAACTTCCTTTTGTTGGGAATTCAACAGGGGAACATTCTTTTGAACTACTAAATCTAATTCTTGGTGATCATATTCACGTTCCCGTTCCAATTCTCGATTAAATGCATCATTCATTTCACGATTGGGCGCTGGCATTCCTAACCTGATTAATAAACTACCGTACATGAGGTAACACATATCTTCGATCAAGAGTAAAGCACAATAATGTATCTCCTCATTTATCTCAACATCGTGATTTCTGGAAGTGATACGAATTTGATGTAAAATATCTTCTGACATATTATCCTTATATTTGTGCCACAGGTTACATGGGTTTGATGGAAAGCATGTCGAAATTATGATAGCGAATAATGTGCGTATCTGACTTGGAGATGCAGAGATAATGGCTTCAGCGATTGTCGTATCCCAATGTTTATCGTTTTCTAATAAGTTCAGTTCTTCACATGCAGCACGATATGTTGGGAATATTACACCATTAACAGTCCGTAGTGTCTCAAATGACGTTGGCTCACGCACATTTACCAGCAACAACCGCAAATAGAAACATTCATCATTCTTTGGATGAACTGTATACATACGACCAAGAGCATCAGTAGAACGCACATCCGGATACCCAGGAACCGCATCGCCTTCTTTCCGTCTTTGAAAATTCTTCGATGAAGCATTCCAAGTATAATAACGTGGCATCTCCGAGTAAAGCAAAGTTCGTGCAAACGGATCGCTTTGGCAGATCGCAAAGAAACTGGTCAATGTAGTTGCTGGAGGTGTTCCAGCACGTAGCATAGCATTCGAAGCCGTGAAATATACTCGTTGACCATTCTCCAGATGCACCGCCAAATGCACAACAGTAGGATGACGTTCGTGAATAGGGAATGCGAATATACGCCAAATCGCTTCATTACAGTTTACATAACGACCAACTTGATAGCGTGAAATTTCATGGTTGGTATTTGAGGATTGCAATCCAAAAACCGCCATATCGCTGCCTTTCGTGACATATTTGCAAATATATTTTATGGACTTTACTGAATTGCAATACTCAACGTTGCAATGTGTCTTGAATGTTTTAGAAATAAGTGGCGAATATGGAACAATCCAACTGTTGTCGACAACGAAATCCATTCTTTTCACTTTTGTTGTGACAGTTCCACCGTTGTCATCTGGTGATCGACGCCGTTACAAAAAAAAAGAAAAAAAAAAATGGAATAAATAGTATCCTATGTCCGTCTCCTGGCTCTAAGCTACCTCCTCACCAATTTCAAGCCATATCGGTAGCCGTTCTTGAGTTATAAATAGTGTAACTAACACGACTTTCTTTTATATATATAGATTATTTAAACATTTCAGCTTTGTACACTTTTTGTCTACAAACAGTGTACCTTAAGTTCCTTAATTAGCGAAATGTTTTCAAAAATACATGCTTATACATTTTTTAATTGAATTCTCTTCGCGTATTGTATAGATATGAACTTTAATTATAAAACATTAAACAAGCCAAGTACTCAATGTAAATGTAAACATATTTTTTTATCCACCGCGCGATAATGCAGGCTTTACCACTTTCTGATAAGATAAAAGTGCAACGTATATAATGATAAAAAGAGTTGCGTAGGTGAATACGTTATTTACATAAGAACATAACGTTTACTTATGTTGGTATGTTTATAAAATCGATATCGTCGTATTACATGGTTGTTACTTATAATAATGCGTCTGATGTTTATGATAGCATGTATACACACGTCAGCATTATACATCACATCACATCGACAGCCTTTACTAGACTACAGCTGAACTTAGGCCTCTTCTTAGAAAGGAGGTTTTGGCCTACTATACCACGCTGGCCAGGCGGATTTGTGTCAAGTTTTCATTCTCTTTGCAGTGCTGTTGTCCTGCGTAGTTTGCTTCCTTAGTCAGCCCTTACGACACCCACGGTATGAATAGGGGTGATGACACACCGTATTTTTAAATTGTCGCCACACGGATAATTGCTATAAGGTTTTTTTTTTATAATTTTAATTCAGTAGGCACCAACTGACGTCATATTTTGTATAATACTAAAAATACTTAAATAAAGTCTTGAGAAAGCAATATATCACTGTTTCACTTTTATTGAACATCATCATCATCATCATCATCAACAGCCTATAAGAGTCCACTGCTGGACATAGGCCTCTCCTTAGAAAGGAGGTTTTGGCCTACTATACCACGCTGGCCAGACGGGTTGGTATAGGGTTTGTTTCAAGTTTTCCTTCTCTTTGCAGTGCTGTTGTCCTGCTTAGTTTGCTCCCTTAGTCGGCTCTTACGACACCCACGGGATGAATTGGGGTGGTGACAATTTGTATTCTTAATCCGTCACCACACGGACTTACGGTCTTACACACGGTTTATTGAACAGGCATATTAATATGTATCTTGCCTTGACAAGTTCGGTTAAGGACTTTTCTTATTAAGATCACTTTCGATATTGTCCCACCTATTTTAACGAACTCCTTGGAAACATTTTTTTCAACTTTAATTTTTTGTTGCATGCCTTATCTGCAAAAAGGGCGGTTGGGAACCCCTTCGTGCCTCGAGATGAGTGACATGGGATGCTGGGAACTTGTTACCAACACTAAAAATAAACCCCGTTTTTACAAATACGCAACTTAGTACCTCTGTTTTATAAAACTACAAAAATGAAAGTGCAAAACACAAATTGGTATTTAAAGGTTAAATTGTTTTGCAAATGTATTAATTGTATTTGTTTTTATCGAAATCACTTGAAATTCCTTTAGATCTTTAGTTTAAAAGCAATGAGATTCAAACAAGTTAGTGTAAATGGTTACAAACTTACACAGGTGGTACTGTTTTGTTTCATGATTTACCAAAGCAGGCTGCTGGTATTAAGGTATATGAACTCATCATGGCGACTTAAGCCTATTTAAAAAAAAAAAAGATAGTTGTTGTAATGCTTCTTAGACATTACTTACACATTTTATGATGATTTTCTACAGTTAAATACTTTCATAAATTAGTTTTTCGATGTACTTAGACATTTTCTATTGTTGGGCATCAAATATACCTAATAACACAAAATGTATCTCTATTTCATTTTTTTATTTTTGCACCACTCTTTTTAACATCGGACTAAGAATAGAGTGTATTTCATTATTCAAGTTTTTGCCAAACAATTTTGAAATCATTTCATTAAAAAAAAAACGCAAATGGATTTTTTCGCGAATAGGTTTAGAAAGTCAATAAAGTTTTTTGCATGAATAAAACCATTTCAGAGTTTGAAAGAACATAAGAAAAAAGTCAAATTGAATTTAAATTTTTACTATTTTATGTTTTACTGTTAAACTTTCTAAATGTATTCGCAAAAACATTCACTTTGCGTGTTTTAAATAAAATGATTTGACACAGACAGCCTGGCTCCATTGCAGTTACTGTGATAACAGTGAAGGATAATCTTTCAGCACCGTTTACTTTATCAGTTCACAAATCCGAAACTCAGCAGTTCATAACCAAGGTTTTTGAGACAGATAAGATATGAAACTTGATAGTAATTTGTTGTGCTTGGTAACCTTGCCTCTAATTTGTGATCACGTCAGACCCTCATTTAATTTTTTTAGTTTGTTTGTTTTTGGATTAAATGAGGTTCACGCTTTGGACGAAAGATTAACTGGTTTTTAGTTTTTATAATGTAAATATAAGATGTTTAACGGTGATTATGTTCACGGAAGTGTTTTTAAATAGTTTGTTTTAAGTCTTCTATGTACAGAATGTACGCGACAAATAAAAGAAAACAAGTTAAATTGAATGATGTAAATACAAATAGTGATACAATTGTATACTAAAAAATTAAAGATAGATAACAAATTATTTTTCCTAATGATTAGATTAGATTATACTATTTTATTACTATGATTACTTTAAGTAGTTACTTTCCTTAACGCTTATTTCTGTAGCCTGCGGCTTCGACAATAAATTTGTTAAAATTAGTTTTCATAGTCTAAACATAGTATTTTAGATATTTTTAATTGATAAAACTTAAAATACGCCATTTAACAATGCAAACGATTGAGTTAGATGAAAAATTGAAACAAGATAGTAAGACTGACTGACTTCTTAAATGTTACTTTTTTCAATTTGAAGTTTTTGTAATAGCATTTTTTTTTAAATAAAACAGTTTACTTGATTTTTACAGTAAATGACAAGGATCACCAATAATATACTTTTTTTTACAAATTACTCCATAAATTAATTCATATTGTTCTGATACCTGATATACTACGATATTCAGTGAATACGACTTCTGTTATTTATAGACACCAATCGTAATCAAACTTGTCGCCTAGTAGGTAGAACCGCCAGCGCCGTTTTGAACATGACCTTCGTCAATAGTATTATTTTAATGATCTTGTTACATCGTTGTTGATTGTTGATCACAATATTGTAATGACTGCCAAATCATTTATACAGACCTATTCTCTTCCTTCAACTAACTATTCTCATCAAGTGAAAAAATTATTCAACTGTTCCTGCATGTTGCCGTTTGCAAAATATTGCTAATAGGTTGTAAAAATGAGGCTATTTCACCTCCCTAGAAGGATAGCTTGAAGAGCCCGGGGTCCGTCGGGTACAAGGGATTTCCGTTCTAGGTTACAACTGGTTCCCAGGCTCCTGTTACCCGAGAGGACAGCGACGTACGGTTTTAGTCAGTTCCAGCCTGAGGTTCCTTTCCCGCGAAAAAAGGCAGGTGAAAAAACACCCAAAAATAGGCAAACATTGACATTGTATCTTGTCTGTCAAGTTTTCAATTATGCCCACAAAATTCTTTTGGCACTAGGTCAGGTGCTTTCTTAAACCACTAAACCATTTATGCGGTCCACTAGACAGAGTTTTTATCATATTACTCGTTTTACGAAACCAGTTTTTTTTTTTAATTGACAGTTTTATTACCCTTATATCCTTCACTAACTTTGCAAATCGTAAATCAGATGAAAGTCAATGTGATCATTTTTACTTGAGCCTATAAATCAATTAAATAGGCCTTGTATTAAGGCCTCTTTTATTTGATTTATAATAAAAAGTACGATAAGCAAAATAATGCCATACTCTAATTGACGTATAGAGTGAACTGGAAAGATATCAAGGTGTTGAAATTCCACAGAGACATTGTAATGTAAACTGTAACGGCATCTGATGCGCGTGGGCAGATTGACTGAGAGCACGCGAACATGCGTGGGAAAAGTTCCAAATTCGAACGAAGCTTTAATACCCAATAGTAGCTCTCCATTGTTGGAAATTTATGATACTAGCTTTGGCTTATGGTTTTACTATTGCGATTGCCATATGTTTGTAAAAATAATAACAATCGAAAGAACGGTACGGCAGCGCGAAAATAGGAATAAGGAAAGGAATAAATTAAAACTTTTTATATTTGAAGAGGAAAAGAAGAAAGAGTAAAACTAAACTGATCTTACAACTCTTTAAAACAAGCGACTATACATAATATTGTCGACGTTTGAAAGTCTGTAAGAAGAAAGAGGAAGAAGGCTTCGTTTTTTAATAAAGAAGAAACGTCACAAATATTTTAAAAATATGTGCAATTCAATGATCGACTACTGAGGTGACGTAACTAAACGGAACAGTTATAAAAACCTTATGTTAATAAATTTTTTAAAAACCTCAAAAGAAGAAGGTAAATGAAAATGCATCCCCAACGGATGCATTTTCATTTACCTTCTTCTTTGCGCGAAAAACGTTGCGACAGCTGTTTTTCACTGATGTAGCTTTAAGCAACTGTCTTAACTTACCTCGTTACTGATTTCCAAAAATGGAGAATTACTTGGTAGCAAAGAAAAATAGCGTCAATTCGCATAGATACATTTTTGTTCAAAAGGTTAAACCAATTATTTAACAGACCAAAAAAAAAATTAAGATAATCGATTATTATAAAGTCCCCTATGTTTCATTTGAATCCCATACATTTCATACTTTAAACTTGTTGACCTTATGTCTTACATTGTTCATAACCATGACAAAACTTTGTTCATTAAGTAGATCACATAATTATGTTTTATACGTACTCCAAATTCTTAAATGTACGTACAAGATTCGATTGAAATATAGTCTGC